TGTTTCCCCTTATCAGCAGGAGTCACATACGACTTTTCTCTGAATTGACCTTTTCCTTTCTTGTCTTTTAAACTTTTATAGTGGGCAGATCTAGCTCTACTATCTTCATCAAAAATCCTGCTTTTGTTCACCAACTCAGAAAATCGCCTAATTTCCTGATAACCAACGGCTTGCTTGACTTCAGGCCTTAAACCACTCACAAACTTAAGACACTTGGATCTCTCAGCATTAGCAGTGTCGTAATAAGGACAAAACTTAATCAATTCCTCAAACCTGGCCCCATACTCGGCTACAGTTGAGTTACCCTGCTTCAGCTCAAGGAATTCAATTTCCTTGTTACCACGCACATCTTCTGGAAAATACTTCTCCAGAAATGTCTCTCTAAAAACATCCCAAGTAACCACAATCTCATCCTCTTCAAACCTTTGGTGAGTATTACCCCACCAATCCTCAGCTTCCTCTTCAAGCATATGAGTGCCAAACTGCACCCTCTATGCATCCGAACAATTCATAACTCAAAAGATCTTCTCGATTGCTTTTAGCCATACCTGTATTTTGTCTGGTTCATGAGTTCCCTTGAAAATCGGTGGATTGTTCCTTTGGAACCTTCCCAAAGCATGAAACTCTTCATCAGTGTTATTTCCAGCATTCGCGTTGGTTTGTGGATTCTGCCCAATCGCTCCAGCCAACATCGCCAAAGTCTCAGCAATCGCTTCATCATTCCTGCCTGCAACCATTATTCTTGGTTCCCACAATAAATACTCGTTAGAACAACCATACTGATAGTGCTACACACATATCAAATGCAAAGGGAATGAACACATTAACAACTTGGTCAGCTGACCGACCTGCTTTGATACCACTTATGTAACACCTCCTTCTACACCCCCAAATAACAAATAAATCACTTAGGCACAAATTCAATTTTCATCAGAGTATAATTGAAAACATGGTATAAAAGGAGCATGCCACACAATACGGGAAATAAAACATCCAACACCTGCTCGATAGGGATATGCAACAGCGGGGTAGCTCTCAATAGAGGAACTTAGTCCTTACACCCACATCTCAATATTTAGAATTAAAAGCGGAAAATCTAAACATTGAATCATTTTAAACATGTAATCATATAAATACATTTCATTCAGTTTGATTCACCACATCATTCATGTTTACATAAACATTTGTTAGCAGATACATATACAAATGTATCACAAAAGAATGTTATACAATCCTAACTACCCGGTGCTACATATCAGAGCTAACCGACCGAAAAAATGAAGCTATACTTCACAAAAGACCTCCAGCAAACTTAATCTGCAATGCATCATAGAGCATTATAAAACAGCAGAAGGGTGAGAAATATTATCATAATAACCAATGCATATATATATATATATATATATATATATATATATATATATATATATATATATATATATATATATATATATATATATATATATATATATATATATATATATATATATATATATATATATATATATATATATATATATATATATATATATATATATATATATATATATATATATATATATATATATATATATATATATATATATATATATATATATATATATATATATATATATATATATATACATTGCTTCGCATTCTCACCGCATTTCATCATAATTCCCTCATATACACCTCAACGTACATATTCACAATTTGCATCATTGTTCATAAACATACACATTCATATTTCTTCCCCACCATTCGCCATAAAGTAGATATACATACATATATATAAAACAAAGCATATTTATCATTTCATATATCCACAATTCACATTATTGTACATAACCATACACAATCATGTTTATTCACCAATTCATAACTCTCAATTCAACAATTCATGCACATATGCATATATTCACACAACATTCATCTCTATGTCATGTGACTCAATACAACTCAATGCAACTTATCAATTCATATTCAAAATTATGGGTACATCACATATACCCCACTAGGAACAACATCATAGTCATTCTACCCCAGTGAACACCAACACTAGGAACAACATCATAGTCATTCTACCCTAGTGCGTACAACTGTATCACGTATACTCCACTAGGAACAACATCTCAGTTATTCTACCCCAGGGAGCACCCCACCAGGAACAACATCTCAGTTATTCTACCCCGGTGATTATTCCACTAGGAACGACATCTTAGTCATTCTACCCCAGTGTATACGACCATGTCACTATACCTCACCAGGAACAACATCAGTCATTCTACCCCAGTGATCATTTCACTAGGAACGACACATAGTCATTCTACCCCAGTGATTACTCCACTAGGAACGATATCTTATCATTCTACCCTAGTGAGTACGAGTTTGGTACATACACATATTTCATAAAACAATTATATGCACTTAAGACCGTTCTCGCAACTTAATCACATGCATACTCAAATAATTCATTACACAAGAATTATAACATGATTGCACACTCACACATCATATCAAAGTACTCATACTTTCAACATTATCACATTTATCAAGCAATGCACACATATTCCCTAATATGTTCTCATGCATTCTTCACATACAATCGCATACAAACAATCTCCATTCACAATATCGCGCCAACGACAATGAAACTCAATCACCTTCATCATGCATTTTTAATCAATTTAAACAATGCATACATTTTCCAAAAGGCCACATTTCACAATCGATTCCACAATCTAGGATTCACGCCATACGGCTACCCACAACATATCACACAACAGCATGCAAATCATTCATTTCCGATAAGGATTGAACACAATCGAACCAAACAATCAACATTGGATAGAAACACAAGGAAATGAAGATGATGTCACGCTCGCTAGCTTGCTCGCCTAGCGAGTTCCTAGCGAACACTCGCTACATGTCCGCCTAGCGAACAAGCTCGCGAAGGCAAACATAAGCTACTGTAAGGCTTCGCTACCTACTCGTTGCAGCGAGGTCCTAGCGAATCCTTCGCTACCTCACTCGCTACCAGCGAACAAGATCAAATACATTTTGTCCAAGTCTGGGACCACTCGCTAGCTTGCTCGCTTAGCGAGTTGCTAGCGAACACTCGCGACCTGCTCGCCTAGCGAAGGTGCTAGCAAACGTCTGCGATGTTCAAAACTCTCACTGTCCAAAACTCCCAAAATCACCCGATTCAATTCCAACGAGTTCTAGTACTCTTAGTCTAATAATCTTCAACTAATCTACACCACTTATTCCGAATTCTAATCGTTAAAACCTTGATTCTACCGATTAAACTCATCTATGACCTAGAATGGAAAATGGAGAAAACATTCAAACAATCCAAACCAATCATACATAATCATATACATTGTTAGGATAATAACATTTCACACCCTTACCTTAATTAAATCGAAGCTAGAAGTTGTTCTTGAGCTTTCCAAGTTTTTTCCCTTTTTCTCCTCTTTTCTCCTCTTCCTCTTTCTTTCTCTTCTTTTTCTCTTATGTTTTTATATTTCTTTCCTTTCTTTCTCTTTTTCACTTATACTCTTTCTATTCTATTTCTCTCCAAACATCCACTAATCCATTTCTCAAAAAATATCTCAACTTAACATTAAATACTTAATGTCTAAAATACCCTCTAATCTATTTTCCCCGAAACTCTCAAAATCGGTAAAATAGCTTAATATGCAAACATAATATATTAACACATAAATTCCACAATTAAAATATTAATCACCCAAAATCAATTAATTAATATAAATAATTAATTATCAAAAATTGGGCTGTTACACAGTAAGTCTTGTAAGCAGGTACATGGAGAATACTGGAAAGGCTCACTGGCAAGCATTGAAGTGGATTTTAAGGTACATAGATGGGTCTCTGAATAGAGTCTTAATTTATAGTGGAGCCTTGGATGAAGATAATAAAGCAGCAATCGAAGGATATGTCGACTTTGATTATGCAGGTTGTATAGATTCCAGAAAATCTATCTCTGGATATGTGTTCACTATGTTTGGGACAACAATCAGTTGGAAAGCAACACTTCAGAAGGTCGTTGCCTTATCAACCACTGAAGCGGAGTATATTGCCCTAACTGAAGCTGTGAAGGAAGCATTGTGGCTTGAAGGTTTTGCAAAGCAGCTAAAACTTCAAGGTCGAGTTATCACTGTTAAATGTGATAGTCAAAGTGCAATACACTTGTCGAAGAATTCAGCCTATCATGAGTGAACCAAGCACATTGATGTGAGGCTGCATTTCATCAGAGGGGTAATCGAGCATGGAGAAGTCAAAGTGCTGAAGGTTTCGACAGATCATAATGCTGCTGATATGATCACCAAGACGTTGTCCAGTTGCAAGTTTTTCCACTGTATGCAGCTGATAAAGTTGCATGAAGAAAGTTAGTTTTCTTGATGTTATAGAGTTAGATCCAAGGTGGAGATTTGTGAGATGTTGGGTCGAACTCTAGTATGGTCGAAGTCTTTTCGCAAGTAATGCATGTTGTATTCGAAGTCTGTTCTAACATGCATTATTCAATATTGCTAGGGTTGTTAGCATGTTGAATTGGACCTTGCCTGTAAGCCTAATTGTTTAAGTTAGCTTGTACCCTAAGTTAGCTTGTAATAGGTTATTGTTAAAAAGCCCATTATGTTAGTGTGCTATTTTATTATAAATATGATGCTAGTTTATCAATCTTGGAATAAGGAAAAATAGGAAGATAAAATCCTAATTTCAAGAGAGAGAGGTTATTTTGTTATTCTTGTATACTTGTAATATTGTTCTAAGAGAAAGGAAAGAATAGCAGTTTAATAACCAATCCTTATTGTTTTCTTCTTTATTAACCCTAACCCTTGTGAGTTTCTTGATTATTAAGAAACTGTTTATACTTTGTTTAAAGGCATCCGATTCACAACAATTACTGATAAGACTTTCAAGAACTATTTAGAAACCTTGTTTTAGAGAATTGAGTAGAGATCAAAGTGTTGAAACTCATACTCTATCAATATTTAATTTTTTTCGTTCAAGTCATCCCATACTTCAATTACATTATCATGATATAAAATCATTTGAGCAATATAATGAGAAACACAACTTATGATCCAAGAATGTACTAGATGGTCGCAACATTCCCAAGCTAATCTATTGAGATCATCATCATCATTTGTCACATGTATTGTATGATCAACCATGATAAGCTTGTTCTTTGCACCAAGAGCTCTTCTCATAGATCTACTCCAACCGTCATAATTAGTGCCATCAAGCTTGGGTGTAACTGTGACTGAATTTCGTCCATCGCTTAGGTGAATGTAGTATAGTGAGTCAAGTTGAGGTTGAACAAGAACCATATTTGTGTTGTGATGTGGCATTTGAATGAAAAAAATATGAACAATAGAATGCGGGAAAAGTTGAACACTTGAATGAAAAACAACAATGCGAAAGGAAAAAGGAAATCACAAAGCATCAAGCTGAACCATTCACACAAATTATCAACCTTGTAGTGGTCGAATGAAGAAGATGAATCAATTGCAGCAAAATTATTAAATGAGGAATAATGATCCAAAGATGGAAGAAGATGAAGTATCAGGAGGAAATTTCTTCATAAAGGTTTTATATATATCATATTATGAATTCATTGATGTGAAAAGAGAGTATAAAATGTATTTATACATGAGTGAGAGACTATGTTAACTATGTTATTTTTTGATCATAGATGGTAACTTCTCACTAAATAACTCTTAATGTTAACCTTCTATATTTAAAAAAGCTTAACAATGAAGAAACTAACTGATGCCTATATTTTGAATAATTCCTAACTAACTTGTAACTATTTGTTGAGTATTGTTGTGTGAGAAGTGTATAAGAGTGGAAAAGAAAGTTGAAATCACTTCTTAGAATTCTTGTGTCAGTTGTCAAAAGGGGAATGAATGGAAGGATGATTAAATGGATACATTTCTCATTTATATTGTTGACCTTTTTTAGTGTGTAATTAGTTTTTACTAATTAGTTTTTACTAATGAGGGCAGTTTAGAGAACTTGTTAGCATGTTTAAATAATTGCTATATAGTTTATTAGAGCAAGTGATTATAAATGATTAAAGTAGAACACTCGTAGACAACCAACTTAAGGTGAAAAAGTTATATGAATGTTAAAATTTTACCATTTATTAATTAAAGAAAAAAGAATTTTTAATAATGTAAAATTTCATATTAGTGAAGGATAATTTAGGGATTTTATTTCTAAATTGTTTTAGCTAGATACTAGATAGTTTTTTTTTTTTAACAATGAGGGTCGAAGTCCAAAGAAGAAGAAAACTACAAGCAAACTAATCTAGAGGTGTAAACACCTCTAGAGTAATTATTTAGTAAGCTCAAAGAAAAATCAGAGTTACATCAAAGAGAACGATATCTTGGTTGATCCCACAACCCACAGACGATAACACATCCGCACATCTTTTTGCTTCTTTATAAGTATGACAAACAATAACTTCTTCAAAGCTTCCATAATTATTTGAATTTGAAAAAAAAATTCAAGCTCTCAACCATGTTGGAACACCCCTTATCTATAGCTTGAATGACCATAACTGAATCTACATTAACTTCAACTCTCTTAAAGCCTCTAAAATAAGATAGCTTGAGCCCTTCATATAAACTCCACAGTTCTGCCTTGAATACGTTAGAACTGCCAAGATACTTTGCATACCCAAATACACACGATCTTTTATCATTTCGAATCACTCCCCCACATCTCAAGATCTTTCCTTCCTTGCACACGCCATCCACATTCAATTTAACCTAGTTCGGATTCGGAGGGGTCCAAATAATATTCTGCACTATTCTCCTCTTTGCCATAACAACTTTATTCATCTTCAAAGTTTCACCATGCTCTATCACTCTCAATCTTATATGAGTCCCTGGATCAATAAGTCTGTTATATCCTTCATTATATGCCTTTTTATTATGCCATGTTCATAACAAGTTGCAACCAAAAGCCCAAAAGCCGCTCTAATTCATATTTAACCCCACACTACTATTAATGTTGACCTCAATCCAAGGCTTAAGGTCCAGGCTAAATAATTGATGCGATAACGAGTTAGGAATTATATTACACTAAACTTGCATGGCTCTAGGGCAATCACGCATGACATGCAATGTGCTTTCACACACGTGACCACACGGGTTACAAGCAGCAGATCCAAGCCCCATCTAACTTTTGCATTGATTTGCCATATATGTTTCTAGAGATTATTCGTTGGTTGCATCTCATCTTCATGCAACATGTTATACATGTCTTTAACTGAGAATTTCCTATCACTCGTGTCTGCTAAGAAAAATTAATCTTCACCATTACCTTCCAAAAGAGGCATAATCGATCTAATTTTATTCAAAATCTCCTTTGGCATTGAGTCCTGAAGTAACTGTCACTTCCACTGCCAAGGGAGGCATAATCGATCTATTTTTTTTTTATTTAAGAAAAAGATTTGATTGTTTATTAAAATATTAAAATAATTTTAAATTAAAAAAACACTTTTATAAAATTAAATTGTATTAATATTTTAGTTAAATTTTACTTAGACAATAATTCTTTATTGGAATTTTAATTTAAAAAATTCAAAATTTATTGTTTAAATAAAATTATATTATTTTGTTTCAATTTGATTTGCTAATTAATTTTCTCTAGAAATTTAATTAGCTAATAATATAACTTTATAAAAATAAAATTTTCCAAATTTAAAATTAATTTAAAATTTTAATACAATATTATTAAAAAATAATTTTGTAAAATTCTTAAAAAATGATTTTGATACAACAATAATTATTTTTTAATATTCTTGAAATGTTCAAATCTAACTAATAATATCAATTTCAATTTCTCATGTAAAATTTATTGGGTAACTTAGTCATTGCGAAATGCCCAAAATCTCCTTCTTCTCTACCCTCCTTCACATTTTACCAGAAATAAGGAGAACGAAAAACAGACTCCAATTTAGTTCAAAATAGTGAAAATCAAATGAACATGCAATTAGGATCGAAGATGATGAGTTACAGCACGGAGTTTAGAAATCACGAAGATGATGCTTGGTATACAGTCATGGTAACTCTCGAAGAAAAGGAAAAACTTAGAGTAACATACGAAAAATTCACGGATGAAGTCGATCAATTTTTCTTACCATCATTTTTCGATTCCTTGGAAGATCTTCTAGAGTTCGAGAAACGATTCAGACCTCTCTCCATTCAGGTTCAGGATCACGAGTGTCGGAAACTCGTTCCAGGTGTTAAGGTCTGTGCCTCTCAGCATTTCATCCCCGACGACCTTCGTTTCTATGACGCCACTGTTGAAGCGGTTAATCATTTTCTCTTTCTATTGTTGCTTTTGAGTTGATAGTGAAGTTAGTTATTAGGGTATTATTAATTATATGCATTCAATTATACTCTTGTTAATCTATTTCATTCATGATTAAACCTTGCTTTAGAAAACCTAGAAGCACTTCATATTAGGGTTTCTAATTGCTATTTTCTGCGATGAATGTTGCATGGTAGTGACAGCATTTAGATGAGGACTTGAAGTTTTTGCCTTGAGTTGGTATGTTTTTTTAGGCAATGCTATCTCTGAATCTGTATTTGCTTGTGCATTTGTGAATGTTTTTATAGGTTGAAGAACGTCCGCATTCTCGTAAAAAAAATGAAGAGTGTAATTGTACGTTTATACTTTTCTGGATACATGGGCCAAATGCTGGAAACATGACGGCGGCAGATATTGGCGATATTTGCACTGTGCAACCTATAATTGAGGTTGATCCAGCTGTGGCTTCTTTCCTGGAGATTGTCAAGAAGAGGATAGCATCGAAATCTGGACAAGAATTGGTAGCGAACTGCAACAAAGGAATAGAAAATAAGAACAAACTAAGTCTTTTTGAACGAATGCAAAAGGTGAATATTGTATGCATATCTTTATGTTCCCAAAGTACTCTCCATTGGTTTGCATGTTAAGAAATTTATAGTAATAGCACATGATTCTTGTATTTTCTGTGTTTAACATCATATATTCTGCTCTAGGGAAGGCGACGTGCCAAACGATCTGTTTTGGGTGACGGTTCTACTAAAGGTTTGTTTCTATCATTCTTTGTAATAGTAGATGTTAATGTTAAAATTGGATTTAACTCATTGGGTTTTGCTTCGTAAATATTTTTTATGACTCTCTTCAAATGATTGCCCTTGTTAAGACTTTGGCAACCATAGTTGTCAAAATTAAGTATCACCATTTAGATTCTATTGGACAGGCAAATGAGTAGGAGGATTGAATACACATATAGTAATTTGGATTGCATATTGCTATTTAATTCTGTTTTTTGTTTGGCATTTGCCAAAGTTTTTTATTTCTCAAATTGATGAGTTCCCTTGTCACTTAGAGCAACTTTACCGCATGGTTCTTAAATCAAAATTTTGTATAGCTTACGTTGTTAATAAAGAATTTGCATTATAGTAGAGCTGACATGGCATTTAGTGAACTAAAGTTTAGTTTCCATTATCTAGTTAACGTTAACTATTCAATGTGAAATATATTATAATATTATTTAAAATTAATAAAATATTCTAATAGCATTAAATATAAAATGTGGGGTAAAGTTTTGGTTTCTTATAGATAACCATCATTAAAGTAAAAACTACTCAAATCAACTATAAATTTTTTAAATCCTACAAAACACCTTGAGCCCACAAAAAATATCTTAGTTTACCCATTTAGTTTACTCCCATTAAAGATGCTCTTATGTTGTTTGGAACATTGTTTCTCTCTTACTTTTGCCATATCTATTGATACGAACATTACTTATCATAATTATATCTCTTCCTAATTAAAAGGTGATAACTATCTGAATTCCTTTTTAAGAGATACAATTCTTCTTAGTTTGGACAATATATGATTTGATGTCTATATAAAAAGGCTTACTATCCTCGAAAGACCTTGTGAATTTGGGAACCCGCTTATCACTTTTTCTCCAACCTTCTACATGTTTATATAGAAAATTTCAAACCTTATTTACTCTACAGCATGCTCTACACCCTTTTATCACATTCATCCTCTGTCTTTTCATTTAAGCTCTGTTTGGTAAATCACATTTTCAAGTTTATAGCTTATAGCTTATAAGCTCATATGACAATTTAAACTTGTTTGGTAACAATCTTTTTATCATGAGTTTATAGTTTATTTTACTACCTTATAGCTTATTTTTTAGACTGTATTTCAAATAGCGTTTTACCTTATAGCTTATAACTTATCATCTTTTCTTCCATTTTTATCTTTATTATTTTAGCAAAAACCCTCTTTTATCTTTTATAATTTATTTTAATTTAAAATAAAATAAATATGTATTAAATGTCTTTTATGTCATTTTATATTTATAAGTTAGTTGAATCGTTAATTTTACTAAACACTTCAATTAGCTTATCAGCTATCAGTCACCAACCATAAGCTATAAGCTATCAGTCATCAGCCATCAGCTATCAGGCATAAGCTATAAACTAACTTATCAGTCAACCACTAGTTTTAACAAACAGAGCCTTAGTGTGCAATTGTTCTTTATATTTTTTATCATAATGTTCTTTAATTTAAATCTTCAAAACTTTTTCCTCAGTTTTTCATTTTTTGAGTTTTAGTTGGGCTTGATGAAAATATGGAAGATATCGAGTTGGAAGGTAAAAGAAACGTGTGTATGATATTGATGGGAAATCTTGATAAAGAATTATGTCCATCAACAGCGGTAGAGTTCTTACATAAACATACTCAAGTATTTGCTAGTGTCTTCATTTTTTCAAGTTTATCATCAGAGATATACACCAGGGGTGCCATTATGTCGCAAACCGAACAAGATTTCCAGAAACTCTGTGATTTTTTGACAAATCCCAACCACATCATAACATCTTCAACTGGCAGGTATTATGTTTGCCTACAGTTCATAAACATTGATATCCATGTTATATAATTGATAAATAGCTTACTTTGGTTATTTAGTCTTGGTTCAGACGTGAAAAATCAATTATGATTTGTTAACTTAAGTTTATTTAAGACCCGTTTGTTTTGCCTTTTTTTTTAAATGATTTTATAATGTAACATATTTTAATGTAAAAAAATTTACAAAGAAACTTTTCATAAAAATTTCAAATGAAAATTTTGTTTGAATAGTTATTCTTAAAATGTTATTTTATGTATTTCATCATTTTATCGAAAAAAAATTTGGATATCAAAATTTTAAAAAATAAATTAATTTTGAAGCTATTTCAAATAGCTTTTCATAAAAATCATTTTTGAAATACAACTTTTTGAAAAAACTATGATTTTGACTATTTGTTTTGATGTATGTTTATGTTATAGTATGTCAAAATTAGTCTTTTAATTTATAAAAAACAAATTTAAAAAAATTTATAATATTTTAAAAAACGTTTTTATAGAATTCATTTTCAAAAGTACAAAGAAAAAATACATTTTTTTAAAGTTAAAACAAACTGGCCCTTAGTCTTAGTCCAGGTTTTTGTTATAGTTATTATTTTTGTAGTTTAACCACAATAAGCCAAGATAAGAATCATGGATGTATGATTGTTTTCGTTTGCCACTCAAACCTCTTCACTATTTAACTTTTCAGGCCATGGACGATAATTGAAAAACAAGTGGGTCTAAAAAACATCAAAGCATCTATAGGAATATTGGTTCCTGGATCTGAGGTAGCTTATACACAATTTTCTTTCTTCCTCTTTCCCAGCAAAGAATAATTTAATGGTTTGGTAGTAGAGAATGGTCATTGATCAAGACTATAGGATTGTCACATTGGTCGAATAACTGAGTTCTGAAAATTTTAATACAACCTTCCAGCTAACTTTGTAGTGCTAATAAGCTGTGCTTCCAAAATCACTTAATTAAGCACTAGGAACTGCATGATTTGACTAGGTTCAATACTAGCTAAATGTAGTTCTTTGCATTTTTTTATCACTGCAAAACTGTTTCTTTTCAGGATGTAGCACAGGATGGAAAGAATAGAACTAGCAACAATTTGAAGGTTGTATATTCAGGAACTCAAGAATTCAAGAGAGCTAGTGCTATGAGGGAATTGTTTTTAGAATTTTCTGATCACCAAGTACGGCTGCACAAGAAACTTGCTTTTTTGGAGGGGGAGTGTATTTGAAATCTGAAACTAAGGTCTTTTAATGAACTTGCTTAACAGTTAACGTTGTGTCCTCTAAGCTTTAGTTGTTACTGGTTTTGTATGTAATTTAGCAGAAATTGTTAATATATTCATTCCTGCTTAAGCTTAGAGGATAACAGAAGTAGATTCTGATTTCCCTTTTATCACAAATAGTTGACATTTCTCACCTGTGGATAAGAATCCATATTTGAACATCTTTAGGTAAATAGTGACTAATATTGTCATATTCAACTTCAATGGTAGGATATCTCTATTTTGTATAGAACATAGACAAATATTTAGACATGACTTTGTGTTTGTTTAATTTCCCTGGTTTCGTAGTTGTTTAATATTTCTTCACCAGTTTGATCTTCAATGTGTTTAAAATACTAAATTTCATTATTCCAACATCATCATAAGGTACATCAATAACTTAGGTACATCAATAACTTATTGCAGAGACAATATAATTCATGGTAGATATGCTGATTTTTATATCTTTTAAGTGAGAGTAGAAAAGGTTCCAAGTAGAGAGATAAAAACTCACTGATTCAAGTCCAAGAAGTTTCTGATTTGGAAGAGTTACAGCCTAGAAATTTTGAAAAAGAAAAAAGAATCACATGACAGCAATATGAATAATTTAATTTCACACGATGCTAAATTGATATAACTATCATTAGTACAATTTAAAGTTTGGCATAAAATTAATCCTACCAAGAATGCTTCATAATATCATAGAAATTGTGAAGCATCCAACCCAGCATTGGAATTCATTAATATCACAGAAATCAATTTGTGAAGCATCCAACCCAGCATTAGAAATAGCTTTAGGAATGGCAAAGGCTTGGTGCTGTTGGATATAACTCTGGTGCCTGAAAATATCGACTTCAAATATATGAGCATCATCATAATGATTAATTAATTAGATTGTTTTTAATCCTAAATGTCTTGTTCATGAGATACATGTTTGTGACCATAGAAGACTTCCCCCTTGTTCATAAAATTATAAATTTGAATGTACCTGAGCATCAGCATATCCCCTGATTTTTGCAATAACTTGAAGACCAAGCTTCAATGCAATTTCACCACTTACCAAAATTAATGCAACAGCACCTTCACTATCCAATTTCATTTTTACTAAACAAGGTCTGGAATTTCCGCTTTTATTGTGGCCCGTCTCATTAGCCACTTAAATTGCGGCATTTGATTTGTCATTATTACGGCCTCCAACAACTTTTGTGTTGGGTTTGTAAAATAAAAATTGTCTTTGTTTATAAATACAACACATATTATATCTCTAAATAATATGAAATTAAATTCATCTCTTCAAATCTAACATAATAAAGGTGTTGGAGTCTGCAATAAAGACAAATCAGATGTCATAATTTAGGCGACTGAGGACAGACCACAATGAAGGTGAAAATTTCAACACCCTCCTCGCACTCGGGTCTCAATGAGACTAAAGTGTGGATGATACAGAAATCCCAACAAATAATCTAAGATAATACACCTTAGAAGATTTGTAGAGATGAATTAAACTCAACTTCAAATTCTAAGAAATTACATAGAGTTTACTCCTTCGTATAAACTATGCTTAAAACATTTCCAACGATAAGAGTACCTCCATCCTCCTTAAAATATGTTTGGAGTTTGCATACCTTTACAAGATCATACTTTCAAAAAATAAAAAGGAAAAATTAATGTATGTATTTTCATCCTTATCAACAATAATTGATGGTTTTCCCTTTCCACTTGACACTTCGACTGGAATCATTTCCCATTTAAAAACACCACTTTCATGTGCAGCAACTGCATAACACAAAATTGTTGAGTTATCTTGAAAAAGAATTCAACACAATTATATTATAATCATCTTTTCAAAAAAAAGAAGTTGTTCTGGTTAAAAAAGTACAATGAGATAGCTATCTGATGGTAGAGTTGTTTGTTGTAGCTATGTGATTGTAGAATTGTTTATTGTGTTTTGAGATATTTTAACATATTAGAAGTAGTGATACAGAGTGGTGAGAAGTTTTGTGTATGATTTTTTCTGGAGAAATTGGATCTTCACATTGGTATTCTGGTTCAGTCTTTATGACACAGGATTTCGCATGAGCCTCTTCAACGAGAGGAGTAACTAGAAAGAACTGATCTTCAAAATGTTTCACGTCATCATAATACACTTCGAAGTAATGGATAATCTGCGTCCGTGTTAAGTCTTGGCCCTGCGCATGGTTTGTCGCGCCCCATTGTACCTTGAAAAGGTGGAAGAAGAGTAATAGTCACATCTGTATTGGAAGAGTTTAATGAAGACCCAATTCACAGGGTTCAATTATAAAAGGGTAATTATTATATGGTTCAAAACTTTAATATCGAAATCATTTAAAGGCAACCCGGGACTTAAAATCGAAAATGTGCACTCATAAAAAGGAATAGCTCATGCACTATATTCACTGTAAATATTTTTGTCCTCTTCATGGATTAGGACGTCTATTCAAAAAAAGGACCCATTTCAAAAAAAGTCTTTTGAAGACTATTTTCGCGAGGAAAAATAGAAACGATTTCTAAAATTTCAAAGTCCATCCAGACAACATAAGTATCTCACTTCGCTTTTTGATGCATGGTGAGTACCACTTTTATTAGTTAAGAATGATATGTTGCAAAAATACAGATGATGAAAGAACAAGGGTAATGAATAAAAAAATAATATAACTACTCTAATAAGATCTTTCAATGTCGCACTAAAAGAAATGGAATAAGTACTATCAACGGTCCATATTTTTTCAAAAAGACACTCGAATATTCTAGTTCCCATAGATGATCATGATAAAGTAGATGAAAAGACATCTAAAATATGGAGCACATTTAAGGCACAAATTTTCAATGACAATGACGTTACATCGCGACTTTTCACTCCAACCGAGCAACGGTGGACAAAAGATGGCAAATACAACAAAATCCTCATCCTACAGAGCAAAGGCAATGGCTTGGGACAGCTGACAGAAGAGGACAAATGCAACAAAATCCTCATCCTACGGAGCAAAGGCAATGACTTGGGTCAGCTGTTATGGGTCGGTCATAAGGCCTAGTAGTTATCACTCAGAGAGCTTAGCAATCCACTGCGTCACATGCGACGCGTGCATGCTGTCCTAGTCATAAAAGTGATCTCGGACCAAGATCAATCAGATGGATCTCTGCATTTCACGCCAATAGACCAATCAATCAGATGGATCTCCGCATTTCACGCCAATAGAGTAGTTATCACTCAGAGAGCTTAGCAATCCACTGCGTCACATGCGAAGCGTGCATGCTGTCCTAGTCATAAAAGTGATCTCGGACCAAGATCAATCAGATGGATCTCCGCATTTCACGCCAATAGACCAATCAATCAGATGGATCTCTGCATTTCACGCCAATAGACCAACAAGCAGCTATAGTCGCCCTACTATATAAAAGGGAGACATGTCATTTCTTAGGTACTTTTGAATTCAAATCTCATTCACCTCATTTTACTCTTATATTGACTTGACTTGAGCATTTGAGTGCTAAACTTTCAGATCAATCCCTCTTCCACTACATCTCATTTTACTCTTATATTGACTTGACTTGAACATTTGAGTGCTAAACTTCCAGATCAATCCTTCTTCCACTACATCTAAATCTCAAATCCACTATGCAATTCACATCAATCGATCCCTATCAATTTTGTTTCTCGCATATTGAATACATATACAAATTGAAATCATTCCTTGTATCAACCATATAGGTTAGTGTCACTATAGGTCCATTATTTTAGAAACAAAGTTATTAAATTTGTTATTAAAATAGAATTTCAGTATCATAGTACAATGGAATATGATTAAAAAGTCACTTAATTAATACTATTCCTTTAATATTATTAAACTGGCCATCATATCTAAATTCATTTATCTTGATTAACATAACATAATTTGGCTCCAACACTAAATTCTTGCTCAACTACAAAACAAATAAACATAGTTCTCCACTCTGAAGAATTTATCTGAACTGCAAGGTTCAAGTGCTGGAAATGTTTGGTATATTTAATCACTTACAAGAGAAGACATAAATTTTTTAGGCTATAACTATAGTGTCCATGGTTTGAATTACAAATTTGTTTTTTCCTTACTATATCTATGACAGTTTCTTTATCGTCAAGAAACAGTTTCAACACCCTCCAATCTTTCTTTTTTTCTGTAAAACTATTATTCGTATAGCTTCGTATATATAAGCGAAAAAAATGAATGTTATGAACAATATTAACCATATACATGAAGGAATTGGATTTTGTTGAGAAAAAATCATAACATTTTCTCAAACTTGTCAAGCTTATTTACCCTTTGCATAGACCTCAAGAATAGTGTGAATAAAATACCTGCATATGAATTAGATTATACCAGTAAGTCACAAAAATAAAGCTCATGTAAAAAAGAATAGTGTGATATAAAAGTCACCTGCACCAACAAATGATCCATTTGAAAAAGTTTGATTGCCTTGGCTACTCAAATTAACACCAATATTTAGCAGGGTTCCTCCTAATACAGTGTACATAGTAGCCATTTGTAACACTGTCGCTTTCCGAGCAGCTCTTTCAGACTAGAAAATCGAGATACGCGTTGTAAGTTGAAGAATCACATAAGTTGTTTATCCAAACAGGACCCAATATATAGAAATATATATATGTAACCTCCAGGGGTTGGCTTGTTGGTGAAGGCTTGAGACCTGAGAGGGTGCTCCTCTCAAGGTCTCTGGAAGGTAAAAGAATTTGCGTACCTCTAGTACTCGAACTCGGAGTTTCAGATCCCCTGCCTCAACTTGTTTTACAAACTCCTCTATTCTTTGAACTCTGTATGGCATTGACATGGAATTTGTTCTTACCTATAAATGTTCCATGAGATTTGTCAGTTATAGTTTTACACAGTGCCATCATGAAAATAATGCTTCATATCAGAAATTTAAATTGCAAAGAAAAATCATCTGAAAGGAAAGGCTAAAATGGAAGTTCCAGGTAAAGTTCGGTACGTCATTTGCTTGCTTTGTTATCTGCTCGACGAATTGTGGCCCGGTTCTTCGTCTTTGCCTTATATCTAGAAGTTCCTGTAAAAGCATGTACGATGTATGAGTATTACACAGAATTTTAACCGAGAATGGGAACAGTAACTGGCCATAGAGACAGTATGAACCTGTGCATAAGGTGCAGCAATCTTCACAAAGGAGAAATCTGGATTGAGTGTGTAACCTATGCCTGCCAGAACAACCAAAACCAAAAAACGATTACATAAAATCAGTACAAAGGAGAGGTGTTAATTCACGCGCATAAGAAGAAAAGAGGAAAACCTTCAAGTGTAGAAAATGCTCTAATAACAAAGGTGAAGGTAGATGGAAACCGGAATGGCTGGTCTTGGGCTATTGCAAACAAATCCTGCCACGAAATTTCATCAGTAAAAGAAATGTTACTAATTCTGCAGACAATATCGAACAAACCAGTAAAGCAATTACTCGTTCTTCAACAACGAACAACGATCGTATCAGTCCAAAAGAACTAAATACCCGCATACCTCTCCAATTGCAGACAATGTCTGCTGTTGATCTGGCGTTTGGTTTAGAAGATTGTCCAAGAAGAACTGTACAGATCTCCTAACCTGAAAGTAAAATTTAGAAATTTATAAGATCAATACATGGATCATAGTTTCAAACTGTTAAAAGAATCTTGTAAATGATTAAAAGTGCTTAGGATCCTTACAGCTGAAAGGTCTCCAGTCGGTTGGAGTGCTCCAAGATCAATAAGGCATTGCATAACCTGCACCATTGTCAATCGAAAGTTTAATTGGTAATTTCAAGTTCAAAGAAACTTCTGAGTGCTTATTCTGAAGTTTATGACTAGTTATACAGTTATGTAAAGTCGTGTATTGAAAAAGTGTGTCAAGTCAACTACATAATTATGGTTGAAACAGGAGTGTTTGAGGTCTCTAGGCATCATACTGATATGTAATTGAGTGTGTATTGAGCATTTGTGATTGTATTATTTTATTTATATAGTTCTAGCTGTATTTTCTTTATTATATGACAGATTCCCATAAATATGATTGCACCAAGGTTCAACCTCAAGTCCCTATCGTTTTGGATGTATTTACATAACACATCCATGAGCTAGCACCGACATGTATGCCTTTTGCAGATGATATAGTCCTACTTGGAGAATCGAACGAAGAATTAAATGGAAGGATGGAAACTCAAAGACGAGCCTTGGAAGCATATGGCTTCCGCCTGAGCATAAGCAATACGGAATATATGGAAGGTAATATCAGCAAAAGGCAAAGCATGCCTAACTTAGAGGTGAAAGTTAGAGATCATATCATTGCACAAGTTACACGGTTAAAAATATCTTGGGTCTAGAGTAAAAAATGGAGACGTGGAAGGAGGTGTAAACAAACAAAATCAAGTTGGGTGGTCGAAATGGAGGAGGGCCTAAAAAGTGTTTTAGATGTATTACTCAAACGGAAGAAAAGTTTTTATGAGACCGGCAATGTTGTATGAGATAGAGTGTTGAACTGTTAAGAACCAAAACAAAAACAAAATTAAGTGTAGCAGAGATGAGGGTGCTGCATCGGATGCGTGGGAAGACTAAACGGGATAGGATTTGAAATGACAACATTATGAGAGAGTTTGAGCAACATCTACAGTAGAAAAGATGGTGAAAAATAAATTTAGGTGGTTTGGGCATCTAGAGAGAAGACTTGTGGATTTTGTAGTGAGGTGGGTATATCAGATGGAGGATAGTCAAACTGCTAAAGGTAGAGGAAGACCTAGAAATACTATAAAATAAAATTAAGAAAGAGCTAAGAATTATGAGTTGTATAGAAGTATGGTATTTGATAACACATTATGGCAACATTTGATCTATGTAGTAGATTCCACTTAATGAGATAAGACTCGGTTGTTGTTTGTTGTTTTCTATTCCATGTACTTCACCTTTGAACAATTAATGTCAGAGACAATAAAAGGGGAAATAGACACATATCCTACTTCTTAATGCAACTATTCTATTACTAATTTTCATTTAGAACCCCTAGTTAAACTTCATAACTACCAAGTTCCTAGCAATGTTGGACAATTTTACGCATCTTTGCTTTACACAAAGACACATACAGGCAGACAAGAAAACATGTTCCCCTAATAGCTTATCAAGATATCAGATTGTAATTGTTTTTTAAAATGATGTTAGAAGCTTTAAATATTGCAAGTATAAAAAATAAAAAATAAAAAAAATAAAATAGACCTTTTTGGCATCCTTTTCATAAACAGCATAAAAAAGTTCAAGCAATCTCTCTCGGGTAAAAGATTTTATCTCCCCCATCATGCCAAAGTCGTAGTAAATAATTGATTCATCAACATCAATAGCAAGATTTCCAGGATGTGGATCAGCGTGAAAGAATCCTGTTTTCAATATCTGTAATATAAACAAAAATTGCATAAAAATTCCAATGAACCAATGAGATGAATATATTTTATATTCAACATCTGTTATTAGATCGAGTTTCAGACAGAAAGAAACAAGGTTGAGGACCTGAATCAAGTATGCCTCAATAGCACGTGATGAGATCCTATCTCGATCATAACCACGAGACGTCAATGTATCCACTTGATTTATTTTAATACCTGTTCCCGGAAAGTAAAAAATCAAAGTTAGAGCAGTTACGAATCCTAGTTCAGTGGAACAATGACAGAGACGACACTTCAAGGAATGTGCACTAGTCAAGATGATAACCTGGTACATACTCCAAGGTCAACACCTTCATAGCTGTATAATCCCAATAAACTAGCTACAATGGTGCAAATGAAAGGTGTGTGATTAATATAGGTTATATATTCAATAGTTTTCCATATATGAGACACTGGGATTTAGTATTGTAACAAGAAACATACAGGTACTCGGACCCACTTTATGTTTCGAAAATCTCGACGGAACCTATCAGCATTCTTCCCTTCATTTATATAATCAATTTCTTGATACAAAATCCTGAAAAATAGCATGTGCAGGACGATACGATATCAGTTATACAAAGGCAATGTATGAAGTATTAAAAATGAAGACGAGGATAATTAGCGACAGTAGATTATTGAAGCCCAAAAAGAGTTGCGTAAACTTTAACATGTAATGAGGAAAGGTGAAATTTTCTTCTAAAATAATGTCAGTACAACTTACGTTGCACATTCTTCATATATGCCGATCCAATCTCTAGTTGGACCACCTAGAGTTTCACTTCTCTGAAAATACTCCGCAATCAGCTTCAAGTTTTCTGGACAAGACAAACAAACTTGTTTGATTAAAATGTGAAATTACAACAATAACCAAGCTTTAAGATCACTTGTTTGTGACTCTACCAAAATCACAAAAGGTGCAAATGGTAGAAACAAAATGAGCGCGACATACGCAAGTCAATGTCAAAAAGCTTCTTCAAGCCAGGCCTTTGAACTTTGATAACTACTTTTTCCCCGTTGTGCAGAATTGCGCGATGAACCTGACCAAGACTCGCAGCAGCAATTGGCTGGTCTTCGAACTCTTTAAACAATACATTAACGGGAGCTCCTAACTCACTCTCGATAAAACCTCTCGCTTTCTTTGGGGAGAAAGCAGGGACCTTGTCCTGAAGAATCAATGAATACACTAAATCAATGAATCTTCAGTGAACGTGAAAACAACGACAAAATATCTACAAAAGTACCTGCAATTTTGCGAGTTCATCCACAAATTCTCGGGGAAACAAATCAGACCTTGTTGATGATAACTGTCCAAGTTTAATGAAAGTTGGACCGAGCTGTAATACACATTCCCTTAGCCATGAAGCAGTTTTTCGCCTTCTGCTTTTCTAAAACGAAATGTTAAATTACTTCAGCTCATTAAAGCATAAAAAGAAACTTAATTGATTATTAAAATGAATAAATAAAACTAATGGACTGAGCAACGAAGAAATGTTTACTGAGAAGTTTTCAACCAGAAGCTACCTGCTTTTCTTCTGTAAAGCCACCCACATACGCCCATTTCGCATTATCCAAAAGAACACGAACACGTAAAGAAAGAACAAAGGACCATACATCAATAGACCTCTGCCAAGAACTGTAATTTTCATTTGCCCAACTGAAGCCTTCATCCGACGGCAAAACCTTTAACTCTTCCAACGGTGGAAGTTCTTTAGAGGTTTCCGGTTTCGCTATCTTTGTCTTTGTCAATGCTGGTGCAGGATCTCTTCTTACCAAACTTGCTCCATTAACCGCTTGCTTCGAGCCATTCACCATCCCCACTTTATTCTCTGACACTGTCTTTCTTTTCGCTATCTCAGTTACCGGTACCATTTTAACAGCTCTACCATTAGTACCATAGTTTGACGGAGGCGTTTCTGTCTGCCGCATTTTCACCACAAATCTATGAAACTTACCAGATGTTGACCTTTTATTCTTTAACAATTCGTGAACTGAAATTGAGCTTGTAAAACCAATATTATCGAATGGTCTTCGCTGATTTACGGACTCTATATTGTTACAGTAACAGCCATGCAAGGCCATTATTACTGCCATTTAAGATGATGAATGATTATACCTATAAAAAAATCAGTATAAAAATTAAGCAGAAAATGAAACTAAGCAACCAATAACACATAACGGTTATGAACTCTAACACAGATAACTGATTATCATATCTCAAACCTAACTAAGAAAAATAACAATAATAATCCTAGAATTTGATATTCAGTTATTCACAAACTGAATAGCAATTTGCAATAAATAAATCAAAGATCATTCAGAAGCACCAAAGAGAACAAAACTCTATACATAAATAGATAAACTTTTGGGCTAATCTCAAATCACATACCAAGTTGAGATAACTTAGGGAAGAACAATACTAACAATTGATGGGAAAAAAAATATGAAGAATTTAGAGAAGAAGAATGGAAACATACAAGCAGGGTTAAAAGAGACAGAACCCCTCTTGAGGACCCACAGAGTACTAGGAGGATGTTATTGCTTCCACGTTTCAAAGGTTTAGCAAGTGGTTGAACATGAAGCATTATTGATTTTCTTAATTTTTTGTTTTTGTTTTCGGTATAAACAAGACAAAAGGAAGTGGGATTTTTATTATTATTTCTATAAAAGAGAAAAGAAGAAAATGAGTGGAATCTTGGACAACCACATTTGAGAAGGGTTGTTGTGTGTGTTTGAACCGCATGTGTCTAGTTCGTTTGTTTGGTGAAGAAAACGTATGGTACTCTTTGTGTTGGGAAACAATATCTGTTGAAATGATTCATGGAAGTATGTCACACAAGATAAAGATTTTGCATTTCACTTAATTACTTTTTTTAATGGTTACAAGGAGGCCTTTTTTATGTTGTTATAAAAAGTTTAGGCAAAATTTACAAAGGATGGAAATTTAAAATTACTTTATAAATTCATAAGTGAATTTTTAAATGCATTCATTTCACGCAAAAATATGTTTTACACACTCTTATTTTTTTTAAAGTTAGTTTGGGAGTACATTTTTTATTAAACTTTTTTAATGATTTTGTTCATTTAACAAATACTGAAGTGTAGTTCCGAATTTTTTAAGTAGAAATTTGAAAAAAAAATATCATATGTATTTTTCAATTCAATAACTATTTCGAAAATATATTTTTGAAAATGTCAAGCGGTAAATTTAATAAAATACGGTCTTGGAGTTCGGCGTGTAATCGGAAGGTCAGATAATGGTTAAAATAGAAGACATGTATTTAAGACTTTGAGATGCAAAAGAAATGACAAGTAGACAAATCTTATTCGTAAGTTGAAATAGGATGACACCAATTCGAGAAAATGTGAGTGTTCGTTTAAGTTGCGTGACCTTCTGGCGAATAGCACACGGGGATTTAATGTGATTTGTGGTATGCATAATCATGACACGTGTCGCAAGTTAGTTAGTCATCCCATTGCATGTTGCTTTAAGCCTAAAGAGAAGAAAATCATTTCTAACATGTCATTGAACATGGTGCATCCTAAAAACATACTTGCGACTTTGAAACGAAAAAGATCTCAAAATATCTCAAATATCAAATAGTATAAAACGTTCGTGTTCGAAACAACAAGGCGATAAAAGGGGATGGAACTGAAATGCAACAATTGTTAAAGCTTATGGATGATAACCATTATGTATTTAGGTACATAGTGTTCAAGGATGAAGAAACCGTTCGAGATATATTTTAGAGTCATTCGGATTCCATAAAGTTGTTCAACACATTTTTCATTGTACTCATTTTTGTTGGGTTTGTATTTTTGAAAAGTCAAAAAAAAAAAAAGGACAATGTTACTTGGGCTTTAGAAGTGTGGCAGACAATGTTAAATAACCGAGAAAACACGTCGAAGGTTATTGTCATTGATCTTGATATTGCATTGATGAAATCAGTTACAAATGTGTTTAATACATCATATATATTACTTTGTAGGTATCACATCACAAAGAAGTTGAGAAGTGTACTTAAACTTGAATTAGTGGCCAAACGAATAAATGGTCAAGATAGGAAAATGGTCAAAGGTAGTGTGATGCTGAAAAGCATAATGGGTGCCTCGAATGGTATAATAAACTATTCTATGTAAAAGTTTTATGTTGATTTTGTTATACATTTCAGGAAAGTTTGTGAGAAATATCTTGATTTCTAGAAATATGTTGAAATTACAATTCTAGACCAGATGAAGAATAAGATTGTTTTGTGCTTGGACTGATCAAGTTAGGCACCTTGAAAATACAACAAAAACTGAGTCAAATCTACACATGCTACATTAAAGAATTGGTTGGGAAATACTAAAGGTGATTTATAGAGATTGGGACTTTGTGAACCAAATGATACAAAATCAGCATAATGAGATACATACATCATTTGGTTGTAGCATTACAATGTTATAACACATATTCAAAGATAACATTCTCGATTCACAGTTGGTGGATAATATATCTCGAGCAAAATTGAATTTTATTTTTCACGAAGCCAAATGAGTTGAGAAAGTAGGTTCAAATAGCTCAAAGTATGGTTGTACAATTAGGAAGATGTATTGTCCTCAACATGGTTGTTTAATTTCAAAGAAAGGGGAAGTTTATAGCCCAATACAAATGAATGTGATTTACGCCCACCGGAAAAGGCTCTAGTTTGATGATAATGGTGTGTTGAAGGACAGTAAATTGAACATATCTATCTTGAGCAGATGGGAAGTGATTCAAGAGAGATTTTTGAAAGTCTGTGACAATATGAAACTCCATATCAAAGAGCAATTGAGGAAGTTTTTCTATCCAGAAACAACATATTTGAAACCATTTTTGCAACTGGTAAAAACAAATGATGATCCTAAGAAGGTCAAACCAACACCGAGTGACAATTCAATAATGTAGTCTCCTTCCTATTTTGAACATGTTAGCACATTTTTTTTCAAATTCTTCGACTTACAAATCTCAAAAAAGTGTTTTCAAAAATCTCTTTCACCAACTTTTAAACCAAACACATTGAAAAAATGATGGTTTTTTATGCATAAACACGTTAACAAACTGTAAATGTTAAGGGTGACGATAATTACAGTTATGATGTTTCAGCTTTGCTTGCCAATAACTTATCAAAGAGTTGAAGACATATAATGAATCATACACAATGTTATACGAGAAAAAAGAGCATTCCAATGTAATTCATGAATATCTTATTTCTTATGTTAGCGGTCTGACACCAGAGGAAAAATGGAAGCATTTTCATTAAATGGATCATCTTATAACAAGTGCATATAATATGGTGTGTGTTGATCTGACAAGACATTGGTTCTCAAAAATATTTTTTCCACTTCAGAGTGCCCCACCTCAAAATCCAATCGATTTCATTATGTGTATTAAGTGGTTTTCAAAACTACTATATTTCATTCAAGTTTATTTGAAATTGAGATGTCATATATCATAGACATCATCGAAGTGGAGATCTCATTCAATAAAGGAAGCTAAAAATTGGTCGGATCATTTTTTGGATAGAATGGAATAATTCACCAAGTTAAGCGAGATTGAAAGAGAATCAAATAAACAAAAGTAAAAGATGGAATCACCCACAAATGTAAATTTAGGTGCAAGCATGTGTTTTGATTCATTCTAGTTTTGTAGGTAATGTTGGATTGAAATTAACGATGTAAAATGTATACATTTTAATATATATTTCATTTTCTAAATTTTCAAGGTTTTTTAGTTTCATAACACGTTATGTTTATGTAACAACAATTTCGGGTGAATCCAAAAAATACATTTCCAAACGCACTCTAATATTAAAATAAAAAATAATAACAAGGGTTTATTCAAAAATGCATTTTCAAACTAACTCCAAATTCTAGAAAAAGGCTAACACAACTTTATTGGGAAATATATTTTCATATACACTTTTATTTTACAAAATAAATATTGTGCATTCAGAAGTACATCTCTGGAATATCTTCTGAGACGGATTGAGTTTCTAAGGTCCATATTGATCTAAAACTAGTATAAATATGAGTGTCACTATACTTGTTAGTATAAACACACACATAATATCACAATATGCATATCTCGCTTTTATCTACTTCAACAACGAGAAACCCCCTTTTCAATTTAGATTCATATAGATTACCCGTCTTTTTGATTTAAAACTAATACTAGAGAATCTGTATACAAACAATCAAAGAGTTGCAAAGCTCTATTATTGTTCACTCTCAATTAACGACAAAGGGAAGATACAATTCAACAAGTTTGAGCTGAAGACGGATGAAGATATAATTGTTATATGGAGTATATTTTACTGTTATGAAACTAAAGGTCCGATCATGGTGGATGCTAAGATTGCAAAATCGATCGAAAATATTCTAAAGATGTTGAAACATCCTACTTGATGATGAAATGTATTGTTAGAATTACGTTAATGATTATCTATGTAATGTTTCACTTTTAATGTATGTTATAACAATTGTTCTAGAGTGGGCCCAGACCTGCCCATCCGTCAGGCAGACCCAACCCAACATTATGTGAGGACCCAACAAGGCCTAAATCCCCCGTGTCAGACACGAAGCTAGATACGTCATGCAGACGTCTCTCCCGTCGGGCAGAACCACATGCCTTCTACACAATCTCCACGTGCTCCCCCCTCCCCGTGGGGACACGTCATCAGACAACTACCTACCTCTGAAAGAGCTAGTCAACCCACCTTCCGGAGATCACAGGACAGTTGATCTAGGGTGAAGACCACGTGCTGGTCTTCACTACGCCACGTAAGTGTTTCCCTAGAAAAATGGAAAACAATCGCTGATCTTCCAAATCTAACTTTGGTGACTCACAGGGTCGATCAGATTGATCCTAGGACATGTGCTAAAGGTTTTATGTTTTGAAATCTACCTAAGTTACATACTTTGACAATGCCTATCATAAAGGTTTGTTTGATTGAAGCGAAAGAGAAAATAGAAATTTAGAAGAAAGGAGATAGAGATCTTAGAAAGAAATTTAGGACGAAGATAAAGTAAAGTGTATAGAAGGGGGTAGATTGTAGGAAAATAAAAAGAAAACT